GACGTGGCATCGTCCCCACCCCAGCCGACCTTGGCGCGCGCTCCCGGCAATGCCAGTTCGACAAGCTTTCGCCGACCTTGGCGTGCGCGCTCCCAGCAAGACCAGCTTGAACCAGCTTGGGGAAGATTCAGAACCAGTTTGAACCAGCATGACCAGCTTGAACCAGCTCAAGTACCAGCTTGCCCATCTGCAATGCCAGCTCGAACCAGCTTGAACCAGCTTGAACCAGCTTGCCAAGCTTGAACCAGCTTCAGTACCAGCTCGAACCAACTTGCCCAGCTGTAGTGCCAGCTCAAACCAGCTTGAACCAGCTTGCCAAGCTTGAACCAACTTCAGTCCCAGCTCGAACCAGCTTGCCCAGCTGTAGTGCCAGCTTGAACCAGCTTGAACCAGCTTGAACCAGCTTGATTATTACCTAGACCAGCTCGAACCAGCTTGAAACAGCTTAAAAACCAGCTAAACCAGCTTGCCCAGCTTGATATCCTTGCTGTTTTTTTTCAATGCGCTCCGGGCGCTGGTGTTTTGAAAAAACCCGTGGCGCCATCTGTCCGACGAAATAAAAACTATTGGTATGTTACCGCCCTTCCCGACTGCTTTCGCGTTAGGCTTGCCAGGCGTAAAGTGCAGGCGTAACCGGCTGCTTTCGTTATTTCGTCCGCAACAACGCAGTCGAAAAAGCGCACTTCTGTTTATTGCTGTGTTTACGATTGCCACAACAGCTACGGAAACACAGCTGGGAAGCTTTCAGTGGTAGAGTTTTACCGCTTTCCAGCAAAGTCGTACGAGGCAGAGCGTCGACGGAAATGGGTTGCAGCGGTGCAACGCGCAACGTAAGGAAACCTTTTTTTTTTTTTTTTGTCGCTTCTCGGTTTTTGTTTGCTCTCCATGATACAGAATTGTTTCTCGCTGGCACAGTTAGACACTGCATTTTTGTGTACAGCGGAGACGGAGACTCCTGGGAACCCGCGAATGGGCAGGCCAGGATTTGCAGCTGCCACTTCGTAGGAAACAAAAAGGCTCCATCGCTCAGCACCCCGCTTACATCCCCACGATCTTCCCTTCGTCGTACAAGGCGAGATGCAATGTGACCACGGAGACACAACTGCAAAGATATGCACGGTAAGTGTGAAAAATCTACTTGGCGCGACAAATCCAAACCCCCGTAACGCGTGAAGCGCAAACGTTTTGTTACGCCTCATCTCTCGACGACTCGCAAACCACCCGAGGTTCCAGTCCAGAGGGTTTCAAGATTTCCAAATCTCAGTAAAATTTAAATTAAAAAGATTCTATTAATTTTTGTTTTGTTTAATTTCTCACTGAGCTTTGAATTCGAAATGGTAGCAATTTTCGGACACCACCGAGTTTCGAATTTGCAAATTTCGATGCTTGCAAAATTTCTCGTCTTTTTTTTTTTTTTTTGGGGGGGGGGGGGGGGACATTGTGTTTATTATGTTTCAAGAAGTTTGGGTTCAAAGTCTTCAAACTTTTGTGGACTGGAAGTTTGAAAAATTCGAAGATTTCTTGTTTCTCTGGAAATTAAAATCGTACAGTTCGATGATTTTCAATTTCTTTCAAGTGCATGTGTGCAAAGTATTGTTGCCACTGAAGTATGTGCTCTACAGTTCCAATTTCAAATAACGTTGTCAGGGGTTCATGTTTAGAAAAGTGTCAGGGCGGTATTTTTACGTGAAGTTCGTCAGCCATTAAATAGGTGCAACTCATCTTCCCACTGTAGAGGAGCAATGTTTGTAGGTGGAGTATGACTGTTAGCCTGGGGGGTTCAACACTCATCATGCAGCAGTGATTACATGTTCGGGTTGCTGTACGATGCTCATCAGATCCAAACGACCAGGGGCGGCTAAATGGTTAAGTCCTGACGAGCCTTAAGGCGATCTGGCGAAACTAAAACAAGTCAATTACCTACGGCATCCGTCACAAACAGAAAAAGGTTTTTGAGGTGTACGGAGACGCCACCTGAGAGCATTTTAGTGAAGCTTCAAGGCAATATTTTCATTCATATGCGTTTTCTCACTGCTTAGTTTGATCGACCAACCTTCGGTTAAAAAAATTTGCAGCACCCCTAATTGTAACAAGACTGTCTCGCCTAGAAATGATTAGTTAGAGGTTGCAACTAATTTGACCACCTAATTTGACATGGCTGAGCATGCATGAAGCGTAGCTTCTTTCCGGGTGGTCTAGTGAAGCCAACACAAAAGTATAGAAAATAAAACTGAACTCAATATCATTCAGGTGAGTCATGATACACAGAACAAACTTTTGTTCGTTGGTTTGTAGTTGTTTGCGTACCATTGTAAAATATTGTTTCTATTTCGACTTATAGCTGGCAAAACAGGAGGAGCTGGGGGGGTGGTTATCATTTGAGCCCGTTCTCGTTTCGCCCTTCTCACTTGGCCCTTCTCAAAACAACCATTCTCAAAAGGACCTTCTCGCTTTGACCTGTCGCATTTGGCCCTTTCCCGTTTCGTCCTTCGTATTTCAACCCCTCTCATTTGAGCCCGTTCTCGTTTCGCCCTTCTCACTTGGCCCTTCTCAAAACAACCATTCTCAAAAAGACCTTCTCGCTTTGACCTGTCGCATTTGGCCCTTTCCCATTTCGTCCTTCGTATTTCAACCTCCCTCATTTGAGCCCGTTCTCTTTTCGCCCTTCTCCCTGGGCCCCTTTCAAAACAACCATTCTAAAAAAATATCTTGCTTTGACACGGCACATTTGACTCTTTCTACTCCAAATTTGTTTTGTTTTTTGGGGTAATATATATTCATAAATTCACTAATATTTCCTGTTGTGTGTGTGCCACGCTATTGGCTTAATCTCTCTGCCAATGATTTTAGCCGTGGGTCGTGGTCGTGGACAAAAGCTACTGCCTGACTAAACAACAGACCAACTACTTATCGCAGACAGATCACAGTCCGAAATGTCACTTTCTTTGAGGTCGCACTTTGCTTGGAAACAGAGTTTCCAAGCAAAGTGTCCATTGTTTTCTTTCTTTTCTTTGTGTTCGTTTAGAGAAAGAGAAGCAGGCGACATTGTACAAACGTATTACGTTATCTATAGTGTTTGTATTTTTGGGGGGTGAGAAGTGTGTGTGTGTGAGGGGGGGGGGAGTGGGGAACGCCGGATGGGAGAACAACATAGGTCGAGAGAAAGTGGGGACTGTGAATCCAGTTCTTTTGTTGTCCGGGGTGGGCCGTGGGTGGTGGGAGCTGAGTCATAAAACGCTGAACCGTCAACTTGCACCCGGAATTCCATGATCGAATCGTCGCTTCACTCGACAGCGAGACGTCAGTCAGGGAAGATGGACAAGTTTGTTCTAAGCGAAACGCAAAAAAAGAAATTGTGTCTTCACCTTGAAGGCTACAAGTATTACAAACGACGACAGAATGCAAACGGAACGATCGCGTGGCGTTGTTGCCGTTACACTTCATCAGGATGTGTGGCTTCGATATTGACCGAAGAAGACAACGTGAAAAGCAGATCACGTAAGTTGCTATATTCGATTTGCCTTTGACGGTCTGTTTCAGCATGATAGAAATCGCTATTTGTTTTCGTTCCTTACTTACTCTTATCAGCACCACTTAGTACAAGCCTAAAGGCAGTTAAAGTGTCATTGACCATTCACGTTCCTATTTACTTATAGACGATCATAACCATGCACCAGACGAGGCGACGCTTGTGAAGGACCAGCTGCGCGTGGCACTGAAAAAGGCAGCAGCAGCCAACCCCAATACGCCCGTGCCAAGGTTGTTTCAAGAGGAACTTCTCCGAACTTGTTCTGCAGTAGGTTTTACATTATTACATCTATCGCGTATAAAGAAGTATTATTCAAAGTTAGCTGAACCAAATCACTAAATTTATTCTAGGTGCCAGATGAAGTCGCAGCAGAAGTACCCACGTTTGCCACCCTCAAGGATACGATGTATCGGGAAAGGCGTTCAGCGCAGCCACCGCTTCCATCATCAGCCTCCACTCTGCAACTCAACGACGCCCACAAAAAGACAGAAAGCGCAGAGCCGTTCCTGGTCGTCGACGACCGCAGTGATCCCTCGTCTTGCATACTTGCCTTCGCTACACGAGATGGAATGCAGCGGCTGTCGTCAGCCAAAATTATTTTTGCGGATGGGACGTTTTTTGTTGTACCGCACATCTATGACCAACTTGTAACCCTGCATGTTGTAACCGACGGCGTGCATAGCGCAGCGGTTTACTTCCTGTTGTCGGGTCGGTCACGACAAACCTATGTCCGTGCTTTTCAAGGGCTCAAAGCTGCATTCATATCGGCTGGGATTTCATTCTCGACCCCTGATATTTTCATGACGGATTTTGAGCAGGCGCTTATTGGTGGTCTGCGCGACGTGTTTCCTCAAGCTGCTCATCGCGGGTGCCATTTTCACTTTGCGCAAAGAGTATGGGCTTCCGTTCAGAGGGCTGGGCTCCAAAGTGCATATTCCAGTGATAACCAAGTAAGGGCTCTGATTCGTAAGCTCGTGGCACTTTCCTTTGTTCCGCCTTGTGATATCCCTCGCGCCTGGGCGTTTCTGCATCAGGAGGGTCTATTGCTCGGTATACCGGAGCTACCTGCTGTACTCGATTACTTCGACGCGACGTGGATAAGTGGCATTTTCCAACTCGAACAGTGGAACCACCATGGAAACAGGGGACCCAGAACCAACAACCACATGGAGGCATGGCATCGAAAAATCAAAGGCATGTCAGGAAAAGCGCACCCGAATCCCTTCGCGTTCATTGATTTAATCAAGAGAGACGAGGCCCAAACAAGAGTCCTCTTGCTTCAAGTTGCAAACGGGGGAGCCGTACGTGCGCAAGGCCGCAAGTGGGCCAATAAAGACAGAAAACTGGCGGAGCTTGAAGGCCGTTTCAACAGCGGCGCCATTTCGCTTTTTCAATTTCTAAACTTGGCTCAAGCTTTTTCTGGGCTGTAAGCATTGTTCAGAGCTTTAGCCGGAAAAATAAACGCGCGAAAATGTTGCCGTTGACTCGTTGTACGAATGTGAAAATGTGTGAAAAATAAAACCAAGTTGTTCGTCCGTAAAAGATGGTATCCCTTTCTTCGAATGCAGAAAAATGAATTCGACAAAGCTTCATATTGCCCGTTCGCGCACGGGCAATATGAGAATGGGCCCAGTTGCGAAAAACCGATTCGGATCTTATGACAATATTCCACCGAGGCGGACGAAGTGAGAATAGGACTAAATACGTAAGGTTCAAATGCGAATGGTGCGTTTTCAGATGGCGGGCAAAAAGAGAAGGGGCCCAGTTGCGAAAATACTGATTCGGACCATATGAGAAGGTTCAAACGAGGCGGACCAGGTGAGAATAGGACGAAATCCGCAAGGTTCAAATGCGAATGGGACGTTTTCAGATAACGGGCAAAATGAGAATGGGCCTATTTGAGAAAAACCTGATTCGGATATTATGAGAAGGTTCAAACGAGAAGGACCAAATGAGAATGGGACGAAATGCGCATGGTTCAAATGCGAATGGGACGTTTTGAGATACACCCAGCTGGGGAACTCAGGTGTTTCCTCACAACCTGCAGCTTCAAGGGGGGAACTAGCTGGGCTCTCGACTACAGCAGCTGGGAACTCGGCCACTGAAGACGGTCCGGAGGTCTCTGCTGAACCGCCACTGTCAGAGGGAGACGCCGCGTGGAGTGTTAACGCTGTGAGTCAAGTTGGAAGATATGTTTTCTTGAATCCCCTTTCTTTTTTCTCTTAATATCATTCAGTGTAATGCGCGTGCTAGCCTTGGGTCCTTATAGGGACCATGAAGGCAATTTAATTTTTTTTAAAGAAGGTGTTTCGGAAGCATTGGGGTCCAAGGATGCCACACAATTTTTTCTACAACGTTGCGACTCTTATTTCTGTACCTGCAAATAAATTTGCGAAACCGAAACAAACATTCAGATTCCTTCCCTTTTTCGCCTCTGGAAAGAGAAGTGACGTCAGGGAGCACTGTCGGCATCGGTAGGATTTAGTGCACACTCAGTGTGGTTCCCGTGGTTCGCTCTACTGCACGGCGGTCTGTGAAGAAAACCCGGTAGAAATGGACGACGACGTCGCCCGATCGACCGCACGTCTTTAGCCGACCTTTCGCGCAACCTACTACTGCACATTAACGCAGCATGATTGGTGACACCAGTTTGCAAAGCGAACACGAGACGACGCACGAAACCAAAACCAAAAGTCGCCGCCCCCGGCGCTCGTACCTTTTTCTTCTTTTTTTTTGTGTCCATGGTTGCTCGATGCTTGTTACGCGCCCGAGGTAGCAGTACGGGGTGCGTTCAACCAGTGACAAACGGAGGGATCGCTTCAGATTATGCTTTTATACACGGTATAAAACCCTTCAAAAAAAGATTATCCAACGTTCAAATAAAAATTTTTCATCACATCTCACCACCGAAATCGAAACTAAGAGCGCGTCTATCGTTTGAACCAATCGCCAGACGAGGAGCCCGTTGTCGTCACGCTTCGACGGCGCACTTTAGTTCACCTTTCTGCCGCCGCCTCGGTGGGGACTCAGGCATCGTTCCCGGCGCTATTATTACCGCGCCTGTTAGCTCGATTGGTGCGGCACCCAAACTTCTGTTCGAGCTAGAACTTGGTCAACAGTATCTGAGACGTGCCTGACATCCATTTCAATCGTCGAATAAAACTTCGAAACTTCCTTCATGGTCCCTTTAGGGCGGTAGTGAATAAAAACAAAAATATACTTATCGTGTTCAGAAATAAGTTAAACATGATCAACTCTGCCTGCTAATGACAATCGCATGCTTATATTTCAAATGAATGCCTGTATTTTTTGTTGTAAATGTTTGATTCTGCTGAGCTTCAAAATCAGGCATCGAAGAGCACGGTGCGTCTCGGGACATTCGTCACACCCCTCAACGTCATCGGCCTCCTTATGGCCATGCATACCGTAATTACGAGCGTTGACCCTTGGTGACACTATTGCGTTTACTACTTTTCTTAGTCAGAGTGGCCAAGGGCTGTAACAGGGAGATGCAGAGCCTGCGGAGGTAGTGCGTCGTCTGCTCCGCGACTAGGTCTATATGGCGACATCGGCAACGTTGGTTTTGACCACGCTGCTCTTTGGACGGGACGGCATCGTCACAAGGTGGCTAATGTACCTCTGTTATCTCGCACGAGGCGAGGTGCTGGTAATTTCCTACATCATCTTGTCTATGGCAGGATCAAGTGCGCCATTGATAGGACAAGTCAATTACTGCTCACCTGATTTACCACCGACTGATCACAATGACCAGACTCGGCGAGTGCACCCGCTTCACGGATAAATAGATATTGCTTTGAAGGCGCCATACCAGCAGGCCGAGTCCGCTGACGCAGCATGGAGGTGGCATCACTCAAGTATTTCACGCAGCGTATCGCATCGACAGTGGTGTGACCATAGCGTTGCCATGCCACCACGAAGAAGCACGTACATCACAACGATTTTGCGACATTCCTTGTCACAAGGGCGACCATTAAATGAACGAAATGAAGGCATCGCCGTAGAGGAAGCTTGCACTGGTCTCAACAAGATGAGCATGCTTGCCCTCTCCTTAAACCTTGTCGTTACACGTTTTTTTTAGCTACATTATGTCTAGCCTACACCAATTAGCCCAGCTTATAACTTTCTTACGATACTGCATTCACCTGATTGATTTTACCAAATTATGACTGACGTTGTAAAGTCAATGACAGGTTAAGAGAAGGTTTCTGGCTGGAGAGGTGGAAGCAGACGGAATGCTGAACAGAGGAGGTGGTTTCCCTGTCTCCTTTCAGCATTGTCTGCTTCCTCCTCCCGTGTTCTCCTTTCCCACGAAAACTTTTCTTAACCTGTAACTATAGCACATGCAGCAGATTAATGAAAATTATATTTCTTTACAGTTCACACAGACCGAAAATGATGGCGGAGTTGGAGCCTTCAGCTTGTTTTTGTCCGTCGCATCGAATGGTGAGGCATCTACCCAGGTGTCCCATGCTGTCACTGAAAGTGTTGCTGTCCAAGCATCAACAGAACGTGCAGAAATAGCTGTGGGACCTGACAGCCATACCTGCATTTTTGCTGGGCGCGATTCTCTTGTGGGGAAGGTTGGTGCTCTTGAAGAGCTCTGCTCGGTGAGCACAAATGTTTTCGCTCTGCTACTGCATTTGTTTTGTCCTATCGTTGTCAGGGAGACTGATGTCTCTATTGAAAACAAACTGATCATATTTCTGGTGAAGTTGAAGCTGGGCATTTCATTCACGAGCATTGGCGTGCTTTTTGGTGTGCACAGGACGACAGTGAGACGCATCTTGTTTTTCATTTTGAGGAACCTGAGCTCTGCCACAAGTTCTTGGATTCCACATCCATCTCTCTTCGCGGTACAGGCAACGATGCCAGAGTGCTTCAAAGCACACTATCCTAGGTGCCGGTACATTATTGACTGCACCGAGGTGAGGACGGAAACTCCTGCAACAATAGAACAACAGCGGGCACTCTTTTCACATTACAAAGGATGCCACACGGTTAAGTTCTTAATTGCCATTCTTCCCAATGGAACTGCCACCTTTATCTCGGATGCATATGGGGGTCGGACGTCGGACACTTACATAACCATAGACTCTGGGTTTTTGGAACGCGTAGAACCAGGAGATGTGCTGGCCGACAAAGGCTTTCCCGGAATCAAGGCGCCAGTTGAAAACAAGCATGGGGTTATGGTGTTTCCCCCATTTTCGAAAGGCCAGTTGCAGTTCACAAATGAGGAGATGGAGATGACGTATCAAGTTGCACAGGTGCGAATTCATGTCGAGACGGCCATTCAGAGGGTCAAAGTTTTCAATATCCTTAATAGCAGAGTCCCGACCGAACTTATTCCTAGTATGACGGACATTGTACGCATGTGCTGCGTACTCGTGAATCTGCAGCCACCAATTATTGCGAAATAACTCTGCGACCTAGAATGCTGTTCTACTTGTGTCCTTCGAGGTTTGTTCTTACTTCCCATGTGGCTTGTTTGAAGTAGTGCAATATCTAATTTTGTTAATGCAATATCTAAGCCTGTCAGACAGATATTTTTGTACAGTAGACTCCCACTTGAGTGAACGTCGGTTTAACAAATATTTCAGAACTACAAACTTTGAAAAAATCCCCAGCGGTTTTTCTATGCGTTTTATGCAAAAATGTTAGTGAAGTGAAGCACAGGATATTTCAAGCCAGTGAACTATGCCGTTGTGGTATGGGTTTGTCACAGCAACAAGCTGTGCCTGACGAAGTACAAAAAAATAAAACTATCTCTGGACAGCTTTGTTACTTCATATGCGCCTTAAGAGTGCCGGTGCATATAAAGATTATATATATATATTTTTTAAATGAAAAAAGCAGCAACGTAATTCTTATTTACTTAGCATATATCAATGTACATGACTCCACAAATTGCATTTCACACTTGTGACTTGATGTATGCTGTTCCATATTCTAGTGAATATATTCAGTTTAGTGAACCATTTCCTTGGGTTTCTTGAAGTTTGCTCAAGTGAGGGTTCACTGTATATCTGATTTCTCTGCATCCTACTTTGATTGCCAAAGTGATGTTCTGTATTGTATGACACATTGCACAAAGCTTTTTTCAGTGAATTTATTGTCCTGGTTGCTTTTACAGTAAACAAAGTTTTTCAAACGCTACATTGTATATCACAGTACTTAATTGTCCTTTTGATTGATAAAAAATAAAACAATTCTGCTTCTCTTGTGTGTAGATGAACACCTCGTCCTCGCCTAACTACCCAGAACACAATGTGCAACTTGAAATTCGTTTTCTTTCCGCCCGAAAACCGCAGATTGAGAACCGGCTGGTTTCAGTTGCGCTCACTCTCTTTTCCGTGGTTAGGTGCCGTTTTCTATGGTTTAGACACAACCACCAAAGGTAACCAGTCATGGGTCACCGAAGGCACACACTTAATACTAAAAATGGACACAAAATGTGATACCCATTTGTTGTGACTTCTCAAAAACTGCAAATACGGCAATTGAAAGAAGAAAAAAAAGTTCCACAGTCACATGACTTTTGGTATGTTTCTCCACCTCTATATTTCCTTTTCCTCCCCAGTCCAGTCCCGATTTCGAGCCGTGGCACTACTTGACTTTATTAAAAATATATGTGACACTGTAGCAAAATAATGATTGGGTAGTCTGACGTCGTAATAAATTGCCTGGCAGGACAAAAAAAAGGGGGGTGAGTGTCAGTGTCTCTTTAATGTTAAATGTAATTGATGGCCCATGGTTTTAAGCATCTAATTTTTACCTCAGTTGCTGTCGCTATATAAATCTGGTTACTGCAGCGTTACCACCCAAATGTCGCTAGATACTTCTCTGGAATGCTTTGAGCATGTACCGAAAGTAGAAATTCTCTAGTTTCGGGACATACTCGGCAAGGAACTGCTCGTCCCGGGGCACTGTGACAATGATGTGCTGTTTCTTTGAATACACAAAAAGATATGTTTCAACTACATTCAAGATATACATCATGACCATAACCTGAGTGTAGTAACTGTGGCTCTTTTTCAGGACGAGGTGTTCATCTACATACTTGACGTATTTCACAAAGCTCGTCTCTTTGTGATAGTCAATTAACTTTGAATCTCGAAGAGAGTATGGGCACTTCACTTCCACTAGGCGGTACCCATCGTCGCAGCACAGAATGCCGTCTGGACTGCAGCTCAGCCATTGTTGATCCGGGTGGATCACGAGTCCAACCTGCACAAATTTGTTTTGAATTAGCTGTTTGATTCACAAATTCAGGACCAAAAACACGACCTGGTGCACCGGTTTTCCAAGAGCTCTCGCCAACACTGCCCGTGCCTTGCCCTTGGTTGCTCTGCCTGGTTTTGAACAAAAAAAATTGTCACGCCTGCTGACAGAATTAAAGTAGGGGGAACAGCTTTCTACACCCTTGCTCCAGAGAAATGGGCTTGCTGTATTCATTACCATATGATGTGGCAGCCGAAGTGAAGGTCTTGGGATGAGCCAAGGAGTTGGCAAGCCGATGAAACTTGGCCCGCCTTGTCTTTACCCCATGGGCTTTCGTGCTTGTTAAGCGAAATTTTCGCTCTTGGGCCCACCTGTAGTTGCAAGCAGGACAAATAAAGCGTTTGTCATATCAACCACCTACCTATGCAAGACATTGTTTTCTATGTTTTCTTTTAATACAAACCTGCTGGCAGCTGCCTGACCCCTTGTCATGAGGGCGATCTCCAAAATCTCGTCGAAATTTTTACAGACGAATGTTTCGTAGAGTGCCCGGCTCTCCTGTGTCATATCCAGGAGTGGATCATGCTTCTGTATACGTAATGGAAAGGGGTTGACGATCTCCATCACTCCGTACACCTTTTTTTCTCCTTTCAGTAGGTCAGTCAGCATCTCGGTGTCGCACTGATCTACCACAACGTTAACCATCTCTGACAAGAGGGTGAAGAAGTCCCTGTCAACATCATCCTTGTTTTCTGCCTGTAGTACCTCAGCCAAGGGGCACCTTATTTCACCAAAATGGCCTAGCAGCAGCAGTGATGTTGAAGCCGGCCTCACCACAGGATTGCCAAGCTGACTCTTGTAGCCTGGAAAGAGTGGCAGTATCAAAATAGTTTGTGAAGCATGAGTGCGGTTTGTCAAAGATATATATATGTATTTCTTCCCCGCATTTGGGGTTGCTGTTAGATTTCTTACGTGGGAAGAGCTCATCAATCCTTTTTTTTTTGTCGAGAACGGGCCGCGAGGACGGCTTCCCCCAGGCACAAGGGCGGTCCGTGCACGCAGTGTGCTTCTCGCTATTCACAAAAGTCGCGAGCGCTGCTCCATGTTTGCACCACCCACGCACGCCAGCCTTGCAGGTGCAGCTCGCGCCCACGATGAGTCTCGGGTGCGCTGAAAGCTGCCGTAGCAAAAAAAAAATATAAAAAAAAAGAAATGTGTGTAATGCACGGTTGAACCGAGAAATCAGAGCAACAACAAATAGGGAGTGGAGGTGGGGTACGCGAAACCGAACCGGGTGGCACGCTCACCTGAAGCTGGACGTTGTAAACAGCAGGCTTGATCTGCGCGAGGCATTTCCCTACAACTTCGCTAGGAGCTGTGGAATGAAGGACTTCTTCTTTCACGCCAAACACGTGACGGCCCGCATAAAGTTTCTCCCCTAACTTCAGTGACTTTTCTTTGAAATATTTCGCGATCTCGTCAAACCTTCTGAAGCCGCAAAAGAGCACCGTCGGATCGCACGTGCGAGCCGCCATTTTCAGATGGGAACATACCAATCGTTCTTAAATCGACCACGGGCGGCGCTGGAGAGCGCAAGCGACGGTGGCATCGGAGTGGCCGCTCGGAGGGTATAGGGCGTGCTGGCAATATCATTTATTGCATATGTGGTCACCTAGGAAATTCGTCCCTTCGAAACGGAAAATTTAAAAGGCGGAAACGCAGATCTCAGAACTAGTGATCGGGTTAGTGTGCTGTTGTATTGATGTTTGTTTGTGCCGTGTATCTTTATGTGCTTAATGTATGTGTTCAGCTCTTTCTTCTAGTACGCGTAAATATATCTACATATGTCCTAATGAAGGAGCGCGAAGGGCAATAGCGACGGGAACAAATAAAAATATTGTTTGTAGCACATGAATGGGTGGTACCTAGCAGTACTTAGCCTAGCTACTTGCACTTACTCTGATAAACCCTGCTAATCTAATCCCAAGCGATTTGACCTTCTTTCACGCTTCGCAATAATTTCTGGTCACCAAACAACAATGAGCCAAGTAGGCTGATTCGAATTTACTTTTTTGAGAGCGGTTTTTTGTATTGCGAATGGTTGTACCACTCCTCCGGGATGTGCGCTTGGCCAAAGAATTGTGGCTCGAGGAATAGCAAAGGTAAAAGAAAAAGTGCGCGATCTAATTGGGTATCGGTCGTCTCTGTTTAACATCGATGTTTTGACGACGAGAAGACTGAGTGACTGCTTTCAAATCGCAAGTTTCTTTACCTGCGGGGGGAAGGTAGCTTCAGATATAAATTAAGTTCCTGGAAAGCATGTGTTACGCCTTTATTTGCTGCTGTCCAGGCTAAGGCTTATTGAACAGTGTTTTCTTATTTTGGGGCCGCCATGTTGAGATGCAGGCGACGGAGGAACTTTACTGCCTTGCTTTGAGGACGAAATTTTCTTTCTTTCTGAAGGAACGAAAGTATGCTCCGGAGTTTTCGGTTTAAACCGATAAAAACCGATAAAAGTACGCCGAATTCATTTTCGAAAATTCGGTTTTAACCGAAAAATGTCATTTTTTTGGTTCGGCATTTTCTATTTGAACCAATAAAAAACAATAAAAGTACGTCGAATCGATTTTCTAAAATTCAGATTTTATCCAGAAAACGTCGCTTTGACTTTTCAGTCGTACCGCAGAGCCGTGGCGAAAAAGTTGAACGACAGTGTCTATCGAAACGTGTCCGAATGTATGGGATACACAGGTGCCATCATGACGTTTTGGTTTAATGTGCGCATCGTCGATCGGAACGTGAAGTCCAAATGCCCCATGACTTCGCCATGTACGAGCGTGTTCTCATGCTCGTTCTGAAGTAGACTGACTTAATGCGAGCTCTGCAGGTTGTGTTGAGCTTCAAAACGTCGCACCGTGTCTCTTTTGGCAGTCGCAATTGGTTGATTGGCCAATTTTGGCTCAGGCAGCGCTTCATCTCCTAAGCCTGCCAGTGTCCAGTGTTAACGTTAGGCGGGCATTCTCAAAGCTCAGGGTCATACTAACAAAACAGAAAGAGCGCGGATCAACGAGGAGAACCTGGGAAAGTGGATGTGTGTGTACTATAATAACATCATGTAACCCTGATGTACAGAAGGTGAAGTTACATGTTTTTTGGGCATAGGCTTCATATCTGAGTTGTTTGTACTTCTGTGTTTTTTTTTCCTGTTTCTTTTACCGTTGCACACATTCACCAACTAAAGTATCCATTTCTTTTTCAGTGTATTTGTGCCGTTATTCTTTGAGTGTTCACAAATATCAGAGCTACAAGGATCATCTGATCCGGTGTACGTTGGTGTTTATTTTATATTCACCGAAAAAGCCGATAAACTTTTATGGGCATAAGTATACGCCAAAAAAAAAAAAAAAACGAAAACTGATTTTTAAATAAAACAGAAAAAAGTATGCCGAATTTCGAAAAAATAGAAACCGAAAACGCGGAACCTTTAAAAGTTAAAAGAGCGTTCATCCCGTTAGGGGGAACTGTACAGACCTTTTTTTTCTAGAGTGTGGGTTACACGTATATAAATAGCTATAAAAAAGTGAGACGTTGACAACTTCCTCTAACGCCGAATTAGAGCGCAGCTCTTGAGGAGGAGGAAGGGAGGGTACGGAGGGGACGGTATGCCCCTCCTCCCCATCCGTACCCTCTCCTCCCCCTGTCC